GAAAAACGACACTGTGCCAATTTCCTTTTCTGTGTAGTTAAACCTAGTTGTTTATACCAAGACTAATAACTTGGTACAAATGGCTAGCAAACAGAAAGATATGCAGTGTGTTCAGAAATTTTTGATACTATCTACTCCTTATATTTAAGAAGGCCTTTCCCTCAGTGAAGAACTCATGTTATTTCTGGAAGTATTAATGCTCATCAGTGGGAAAGTAGAAAATATGACCTTTAATACTAAACCCTTCTAATAAACTTTATCAAACTGATCGATGTGCTGTTCTAGGCCCTCAGCTAAAGATATATGAACATTTTCCTTGTTGATACAGCTCACAGAAATACAGCTGCCAATGCTAATTCAGAAATATACTTCTGGTGTTTTGAGTTATACCACGAGGAAATAGCAAATTATTACTATTTTAAGTGAAAAATACAATGTGCTCTATATATTTGTTACCTAAAGGCCCCAAATGGCTCTGAATAATAAACACAGGCAATATTTATGAGTCTAAAGGGAAGCATGTTAGTTAGAATTAAAAGTTTGGTTTATATTGTCCGGTAGCAGGAAATTTGGGGTATTTCTAAAACCTTTTTTTTTTTTTCTTTAAAATAAAAGCACATTGCAAGCAAAAAAATCAAGTGGTTTTGTATACAGTCACACATTTTTCAACCAAGGTATAAACGTGATTAAAAAGCAAGGTAATCTGACGTAGCTGTGAAGGGAGAATAAATAAATTACAGGCATTTCTGTAGGCTGGGAATTTAAAACCGTTTCCGCTTTTTTGGTTACACGTACCATTTTCCTCTACAGCTGAAATTCAGATAATAATTGTGATATGGTCTATCAGACTATCATAACATGTAGTTATGGTTAAAATAAACATTACACAGAGAATATCTTCATATCCTATATGTACTATCCTCCTAGAACCTCCTTTGTAATTAGGGAATAAAGGACACTGTTACGACCCATGCAACGTGACAGCAGCTGAAAATGCCGCAGGTGACCTGCAGCTCTCTCATGCACTTAGGATGGTAAACAACCTCTGAACTCCCGGTCACTCTCAGCTTCAGAACACATCTTGTCTTTCATCTCACAGTCTCCTGACAGCTGTCAACGTGATCTCTTCAACATCCAATCAGAGTCTGTCGTGCCATCTACTTACCTTCAATGCTTGGAAACATTAAGTGTCACTTAGACAGGAAAGGCCAAACTCCTGACATGTAACAACTTGACCTCACCCATTCCTCACTCATAGCCCTCATTTACCTACTGCCCCAGTGAGCCGGCTTCTACCTATCATACTGTTTTAGGGGTCCTCTGTGCCCCCGCCTCTGAACCAATGTATCATACTGCTTTGTATTAATAATATCTGACACAAAGATGTGCAAATAAAATCTACTGGTACAGATGTTGCTCGCTCTGTCTATCTATACACAGGCAGATGCAACATCATCTATATCTTTACATCCATATACATAGATATAGCAGTACACAATTTGATTTAAAATATATCTACCTTCGATCACTATACAGCTTCCATCTATATACAGATGTAGATATTTTATATTTAGATCAAACCGTGTCCTGTTTTACTGCAAACCAACATGATTCGTCATCATCAGACCTTTTATAAGACAGTTTGTACTTGAATATTTCTGCATATTGATAAATCCTACTAAATATCAGAATTTCATTTTAACTTCTCTATATTGTTACAAGGTCTCTTAACTACAAGGCCGAAACTAAAGGCCTTTTATTTAACATTTATTGTGATAAACTTTTAAGGTTAATGTTTGCATATCGAAGGCCCAAAATCCTATAAAATTACAATAATTCTGATAAAAAGTAGAATTATTCCTATTTCTTAAGGAATAACAAAGGTATTATCCTTCTTTATATAAGCAAAATAATATAAATTCTTAAAATATCAGAGTTCATTTATATATTTTATATATACACTCCTGATATAATTATAAAATGCTGATGCTTCGACCCATGAATTTGCCTCTATCAAATGAGTCAGGAAAAAAGGTAAGCTTTTATGGCTGTTGCTGAAATTATTGTTATAATACAGTAGAACTTCCAATTGTACAAACAGCGTCACTTTAATAGAATTTTTAAAATACTAAAATAAAACTAAGATATTTTATTTAAATCACTTATTGTATCTGGTTGAAATGATCGGTTTACCCACTCAGCCCCCACCTCTAATCCCATGATTCCCTTTCTCCCTCTCACTAACTGTGAGTACTCTAAGGCAGAATTATCTTTGCAACTCTAGTGGCTAGCATACAACAAGTATCCAGTAGATATTTAGCAAATAAAAAAATAAATAAATGAAAGAGCGAATAAATGACTATCTTGATGGCAGTCTGAGTACCTACGATCAAAGAAGTTTGATGAATGAGATTTGATCAAAGGAAGAAGGAAATGAAAGGATGGATGTAATTTCATGAAGTGATAAAATATGTACTCTCTCAATATATATATTTATTACTTAAAGGACCCAAATGGCCATGAATAATAAATACAGGTAATATTTATGGGCACAAAGGTAAGTGCATTATTTACTCTAGAGGCTGGAACTACTCTTTCTAAGCCATTACTATCTTGATGGGTCAAAATTGTTTTTGGCACACACAGTGTGTTAGAAAATATGAACTATGCAGCTGTCGAACAGTAACAAAGTACAGTTTAACCTAGTAAGTGGTATCAACTCCTTCTGTGCCTCTATAATCCATCCATCTAAATCCTACTTAGTTAGAGGATTATAGTTTTCATATATCTAAACAGCGCTTTCCAAAGTTTAGGTAAATAGTTCACACGTACAGTAAACAAGACTGTATAAATCATCTATTCGATTTCAAAAAAGAAAAGAAAAATTTTATGTGACAAGTACTTTTTCTTGGAAAGAAAAAGATACAAAGGAAGGAAATTAGGATCATGCCGAACAGGCAATTAAAACTGTCTCAAGAGAGATTTTTTTTCCCCCACAAGTCCCTAAAAGGAAAACTGGCCAAGAATTCCAAAAGATGCAGCCACAGAGGAAAGAACCACCAGAAGCAGATCTAAAATCTCCATGGAAACAGATAAGAGTTTAAGAAAATATAAACCAGATCTTCAAATATCTACATAGAAAAGGAATGCTAGAATAGCAATTATTAAGAAGCAGGGGTGGTAGAGGTGGTGAAATGGATCACAAAGCAGTAAAATACAAATTACAAAGAATATTATTACCAAAAGGTCTCATCAAATAAGACTAGAAATTAAAGTTTAACTAATACCTCCCCAAAAGCCCCTAAAATTTTTATTTACTGAATATTAGCTTTTGAAATAAATATAAACACACCTTAGGTTTTGGGAAAACTCATGCTAATCTTTGACCTAACAGTTGGTATAAACCAGTTAGGACAGAGAGTGGATGCAACATATTAGTGTTCACGGATTCTTAAAGAAATCAGAAGCGAGAAGCCTAACTACACCAAAGTCACAAGGATTTGAAACCTCCCTCCCTTGGTCTTATGAACTAGAGGATATTTCTTTGTAGAAAAGTAAGATTTTGTTCTCAATTCACAATGCTGTACAAAATTATATTTCTATCACAGTACTGCATGTTTATGACCTATGATGACCATAACTGAACTTGGACTCTAAATTTTGTCAAAATCACCTACTTACCCTTAGCAGAAGAATGAAGGCTGCCCATCGACAGTTGTTTATAGTTTACACTTCACTAATGCCATTATTACATTTGAACATATTGCAAACTAGTGACAGAATGCAAACTACCCACTAAATTAATTCTTAATTTGCTAATCCCATTAGCCAAAAGGTGATATCAACTTCTAGCATCATGCATGTATTTCAAATTTATCTGAAATATACACATAATATCTGCTCGGTTTTATAATATGGGAAAAAACCCTCAAAACCTTAGAATAATGTCAAACGAATCATAAATTTACAAACAACACTGATAAGTAACAACGCTGATAAGAATTCCATAGGAAAGCTTATAGGAGTAGAATACTGGACTAGTATGCCTTTTTTCTCCTTACGTGTCTTTTCTGGAAATGAATGTTAGCTATTTTTATATGACCTTTACTTTATAATATTTAACTTCTGACCTGCTTTCCTTGAAAAAAGCAAAACTAAAAAAGCTTATATTCTTTAAGTTTCAATATTTTATGTCTTTATTTGTTCAAACAATGACCTTAAAATTATGTAAACTATGACTAAGAGATGCATTACTTAGCAAATGAAGTTACAAAACATAACTTCTTGTTTCTAAATTAATATAGTGGCAATAGTGGTTAAGAGTATGGACTCTAACCATTATGCCTAGATTCAAATCCCACATCGGCTATTTACCAGTTCTGTGACCTCTAACAAGTTACTTAACTTCTCTGTTATCAGCTTTCCAAACAGTAAAATAAATGGGGCTAATAACATACCTACCACACAGAGTTATAAAACAATTAATATAGCTATAGTGCTTAGACAGGTAAGATGTTTAGAACATAACCCTTGTGTAAGTGCTTGCTGTTATTTAAATATGTAAAAGAAGCTAGAAAATGTGTTGCACATATTTCATTTAATCTAAATTTTTCTTTTAAAATATTTGAAGAAAAAAAATCTTTTCCTCCCTTCAAAACTCTCACAATCCTAATGGTCTGAACTTTTCCAGAGATTCCACAGCTATAGCCTAATTGATAACTATTTCCTAAGGTGAAAGGCCACGTAGGTGAAAGTTATTTTACTCACATTCTTAATTCAATAAAACACAATCGGGTTAATTTTTAGGGCATTTTGGAATTCGGAGCGTTTGTCAAATGATGAAATAGAATTATAAAGTAGTCTTAGACTATAATTATTAAAATTCTCACTTATTCTTTCTCCATCTGTCTTCAGTTAACTCTGTACCAAAAAGGGAGGAGAGTTAACATGCCCCCCGACCCTCAGCAATAGAAGCTGATATAACCGAACGCCAGTACTACCTTTATCGCTTCCATAGTAGTAGAACACTGTTTTACTGAGAGCGCACCACCGTTTCTGCCATTCAAATCCCAGAAAGCTGTGATCTACAAAAAAAGGGGGTTGGGGACGGGGAGCGGAAGCAACAGTTTAGATAACACAGATTACATATGTAAACACAATGCCCTTTCCTAATTGTAAAAAGAAAAGTTAGTTATATGACTTGCAAGATTCCTTTTTCAGCTCTAAAATTTTAGGACTAATTAATTTATATCTTCTTTTCCAAGAGACAAACAAAAAGCAAAGCTAAAAGGAGTAAAGTGAAACAGAGAGAAGCTGCTACATTTATGGGATCAACTGTGTAGCTCACAAACTTTCCCAACAGGACGGTTGAAAAGGCCTTTACTATGCAGTCCTGAGATAACTGATTCGTCTGGGCCCCATTTTCTCATGTTATAAAAGGGAGCGGGGAGGAGTTGACCTGGATTATTTCTATTATCTCTTTGAGCTTTTAAACTCAGCTGAGAAAACTAAGAAAAGCAAATGAATATAAATAGAAAGGCCCGAAATGACTACCTGAGAGATAAGCAGAATGGTAATGAAGAGACTTTCTGCTTTTTGTTTCTCATGTCATAATACCACCTCTATATTAATTTCCATTATATATTGGTGTTGAAAGAGTGAGACCATATGGTCCGCTCCCAATTACCATAGTCAGTGGAGAGGAACACTGAATGCATAACAGAAAATGGCAGATGACGTGCCGGACTGGACCTGCACCGTAGCAGACATGGTGTGTGCCATGTGAGGAGCAGGATAACCTGCTGCTCAGCCGGGTGAGAAGGGGTGAGACATCTCATCCTGGAGGACACAGTCATGGCTTACAGCCTTCCTCTAAGATGCAGGAAATATTTCCCAAATCATTTACAAATAACCAATGCTGACAACTAAAAACCTGACCAAATTTTTTTTAATTAAAAGTTATTTAGAGCAAAAAGCTGTATTTTGTGGTTTGGATGTCATCCAGATTTTTCTTAACCGTAAAACTCTTCAATCACCTAAAGAGAATACTGGCTCCACATGCATACTGTAAGCGTATTTTATCTAAAGATAAAAACCATGTTTAGATTTTGCATTAGAATCTTACAGTTTACCTTTTCTGCGTTTTTCAAGATAGCCAGCCTTTAAAACAAAAGTAAGGTCCTGTGCTGCAATTGGAGGGAACTGGTTTCCTGTGGGAAGTAGAGGGGGAAAAAAACAGTCAGTCAGTAATCCATTTCAGAAAAACCAAGTACCAGATCTCATTAGATTCGCTGTACTTTTAATTACCCTAACTAATTAAGTCTAAGTCCATAAGCTTTGTTTCAGATCCATTCTATAGACTAGTCCCTCTCCTTCTGTAAACCACAACAGGGGGAAAAAAAAAAAGTTCTATACTCCTTTCTTACTATATTATGCTCCCCAAAATACAATAATAGTATGTGACCGAATGATCACTAAAGGGCAATACTGTAGTTAGGAATTTCAAACAAATCATATAAGCGTCTTTACATTTATGCTGGATTAACTCTTCAAGAATTTTGTTGCGTATTGACTCTTACCTGCATGTCCCTATTCCTATCAAGTAAAGCATAAAATGATTTTTCCTCAAAAACAAAAATTTCCCCAAAACAAATGCTAAAATTTGCTTCTCTTTATTTACAACAAATATTCTCTGCCTGCTTGTACTCACAGAGACATTTAATTTTCTAAACATTTTTTTGCTATTTGCTATCTAGGAGTTGTTTAATGTACATGTAATTTTTAAAAATAAAAAAACAAAAGTTTATTAATAGGTACTTGGATACGTTCAATTTTAAGTTCTTAGAAGAACCATTTTATTTGTATAGCACCATAAACATGTAAACATTTAATATTTTTGATGGTGGAAATTGAAAATTTATAACACCATATAAAAAGTAGTAATTTCTCTTTAAAAAACATGAATTCTTACATCATTTAGACCTCATACCACTACCAACAATGATCAGTAGCATGTCACCATTTAAGAAGATTCACACTGATCCAAAGAATTAAGACTATATAAATGTAGGTATCACGACACATGAAGAAAAGGAAGGTAAGGCTAATATAAACCTGCTTGGCAGGAAACAAAAAAGAGCTGCCAAACATTTGCCAAACACCACAATTACATTATCTCACCATGAGAAACTATGCAACACGGCTAATTACACATCTTTCTAACAATTTCACAATTATATTATCAGCTTTGTTTCACTATCCAAGTTCACACCCTTGTCCCAAAAACAAGTTTAGCACTGAGCCTTAATCCTTTGGCACACAGTAGGCATTCAGTAAGTGTTAGCTTTTATTAATTGCTATAATTAAATATTATTATATTTTAGTATAATTTTAACTATTAGTTCAAATGAATGAATGCCAATGTAAATGTATGACTATTCAATGTTGCTTAGAAAATTTTAATCATAAAGATGAAAAAAAGTATGATTTGTTAATTGCACAAGTTAAGCATTGTAGTTATTTTAGAAGCCAAGATTTCTTTTTGGTTGATGGAGATATTATATCCCAACCAAGGAGAGAAAAAAATTAAGGCATACTCTAGGGCAGGGGTCCTCAACCCCTGGGATGGGGACTGGTACCACCAGTCCATGGTCTGTTAAGAACTGGGCCACACAGCAAGAGATGAGCAGCAAGCAAGAGAGCAAAGCTTCATCTGTATTTGCAGCCGCTCCCAGCACTAACATCACCACCTCGGTTCTGCCTCAGATCATTAGGCATTAGACTCTAATAGGAGCACAGGTCCCTGGTGCCAAAAAGGTTGGGGACTGTTCTAGGGCATCTTAATCCTCCTGCAGAGGATTACTACAAGAGCTTGTTTAAGTGGCCACAAGTTTTTGGTACCCTCAGGAAATAAGGATATACTGACAAAGATTCTTTTCTTTTTACAATATGAGCTGTACTGCTTATATAATAGTCCTATTTTTCTAAAGCAGCTTAAAATACTAGACATTAAAACTAACAACCTACAACAGCAGGCAAGGAATGGGTCTTCTTCCAACTTACAATTTGGGAATCTGAAACATGCAAAATGGCAACGAGGTCACAGTGAATGGAAATAAACAATTATCAAGTGCCTACAATATTTCTAGCAATTCAGTGGAAAAAAGGCAGTAGTGGAATCCAAATTTTCTTACAGTTAGGTTGGTATTTTACTCACAAGACCACTATTTTTAAAGGATTACTCAAGAGTTCTAGAATGTGTCTTGAAACTTTTGCCTTAAAAACAAACTGTGTATATAGTGGATGTAGTCCACCAGCAAGCTAAAAGAATAGATTTTAGAATCTGAAAAATGGAGAAGAGCTCCAAAGTATGGAAACAAAAAACAAATTATCTAAAAACTAAGGTATTACCGAACCTTGGCAATTTTATTAAACTATTGTTTTAACCTTTTCCCTTTTACTTAGGATTAAAAACACTGGAATACCTAAATACTTGTAATGTATTTAAGAAGTAAGTTTTATTGTTAAAAAAAGTTTTAACTATTAAAAATTATTTAAAATAAAAAATAATTATTTGAATTTCAGAGAAAAATATGAACTTCCTTTGGCAGGAAGAATCATTTTTAGATGTTAGGTAGGTTGGATATAAAACTAGTCTTGGTATCAATAAGGTAAACAGTTGCATTCCTGTATGTATAATAGGAAAAGGTGGAAAAATAGAGCTGAGAGAAAAGAGAAATCCAATCATCCCTTTCTTTTTTGTACCTCTTTTCTCAAAATAATCTAAATTAACGGACTTTAATTCACAATTTTGTTCAGCACAGTTGCATCGCGGTGTCTTGATGCACTATTTCTGAGCCTTCTCCAACAACACTGACATGTCTCCTAATCTACACACACACGCACACGCACACGCACACGCACACACGCATGCACACACACACATGCACACACTCTATCCCAGTCTCACACCTCTTGAAATGTATTTATTTTTCTAACACATAGAGAGAGGCATCAATTCCAAAGTGCGACTTAAATTTTTTTTTTTTTTAATCTATAGAGGTTCTAACTACTAAGTGCTGGACTTAACTTTTTATTCAGTTTCCTTTTTTCTATACATTTGGCTCTTCCTATGGGGCTATGAATAGGTAGGTGTCAAGGGATGTGATTCACAGACTTTTTCAAAAGAGACACCTGTTTTTCCCCATCTTTTTTATTTTTTGATATGCAGCTTTGATGACCAATTTAAATGTTAAGATTTCTAAGGACTCTAAAGCCTCATTTTTCCTATATTGTCATTAATAAATTATTATAATATTATGAGTTTCACTGCATTAATATAGTCATGGTTTTACGGTTGTTCAATCTAGACTTTGTACAAAATTCCTGTTAGGTTACTGAGTCTCACCTGTTACTAGCTTCCATTTACTCTTATTTTTACTGGCTTTTCCTTTTATTACTTGGTATTTACATAGTTTTCTATATAAAAGCTAAAGTTTCAATTAGTATAATTTTGCCATCTACACAACTGAAGATTATATTTCCCTAAATGTTAGAAAAGGAGATATATAAAAAAGATTGTTTCTGCTCATAAGAATTTTCACTCTGAGCCTGGATCTTGGTCTAGTCAGTCAAATATTCTGTCACCACATAATATGACTGTTTTCCGTGAACTACAAAAAGTTAAGGGTAAGTCTCTCAACAATATCTTTATTTTTCTCTCAATTCGTATGAATAAAACACCCATAAGTTTATCTAGATCTTTTTAAATTCTTCATTTTCACCTGAGAGTTGCGCTACTGAGTTCCATAAATTGGCCGCCTCTGGAGATAGTGCTTCCTTTTATCTCTTCCAAACTTAAATGTGATAAACTTTATTAAATGACTGTTCATTATAGCATTCCTGAATTTGAGAAATAAACCACTCCTTTTTGTTACAGTATCCACTCATTTAATGATTGCTTTATATTTAAAACACGCATAAGGCTTCAATTTTCCAAGAATACTAACCGTTTTAGTTTCTCATTTCATGCTAGCAATACCCTCTTCTACCGCCTTCTACCATCTCAGTGCTCATTTTATTTCTAGGTTAACTTCTCAGTTTAAGATGTGGTCATCAGAATTGAAGTTTATTTTTAAATGTCACTATTTCGTGCATTATAATTTTGCATAAAAATAGAAAAATGCTCTCTGTTTCCTATATCTTTCCAGATGATGTCCAGGATCCTGTAGACATTTCTGGCTGAAGGGTACATTGGGAATTTAGCTTTAGAAAACAGTTCCCAGAGCTATTACTGGCTCAGAACTCATTTCATAAGTGCAGTTTAATTACACTTTACTTCACATTTGCACACACAAACTTAGATGCCATCTTCCCTGTTTCTAGAGAATAGATACAAATAATAGATACAAAAACACAGAGTTGCTGACATTTTTTTTCTTATTATTCTAAAAGGTTTTACATGCAAAAAATTCACTAGTATTCTAACAGGTTTTACATGTGAAAATTCACCAGTATACCTGCAAAACAAAACATAAAGACTATGTCCTAACAAGAAAGATAAACCTAAACTTAACTTGAATATAAATATTAAATGAAATGGTTTCATGGTACAGCAGAGACCTAGAAGCTTAGTTTTACATTAATACTGACTTCAAGATGCGTGATATAGGTTAAAGAGGTCTGTAATGAATCCCCAGTTCTACAAATTCGTGACCTTCAGCAGGTCACTAAACCTCTTTGGGTATCAGTTTCCTCATCCAAAACATGAAAAAATTAGATTAGGTCGACTCTAAGGCCCTCCCAACTCTAGAATTCCTTTAAATATAAACGCACTAATATTTTTTCTCATATTTTTAGTAACAAATGGCCAAGTCCAAGATGGACTCAATATTTACAACACATTTTTTTTTTTTTAGAATAACTGATAACTTCCTTTAGATCTTTAATTTTATAAGAAATAGCTTAATGTACTATAAAAGAGTGATACCTCATGGTATTAAGAAGTGGTCATCAGAATTAAAGTTTATTATTAAGTATCAATATTTCATGCATTATAATTTTGTATAAAAATAGAAAAACTGTATGTTCCCAATGTACCCTTAATATTAACATTCTAAAACAATTTTAGAACTGTTTATGTCATTTCAAAAGTTTGATTCCTAGCTAGATTCTTGGCCTGGAATATCTATGAAAAAAAACAAATATATAA